CAGCATAAAAAAAATTTTTCTTTTTGCTCACAGACCATTTTCGACGACTATACATCTAACTGGAAGGGCAAAGTCGAAAAAAAACTTCTTTTAGAACACTGGTACGCCATTCCACTTTTTCCCGAAAGTGGTAGAAATCCCATGGATTCACCCATTTGCTTATTAAAAACAGATCTGGATTCAAGACAACATCCATTACACTCAATAAACTTACTCAAGCAATCATTCGATAGTTATTTCGATCCCTCGATTTCGGCTGTCGATGGACATCGGATTCCAAAATCGAGCCTTCGGAGTGCCATTTTCCGATAGGTCGAGGACTCGGTGATGGATTTAGTTTTCAAGTGTTTTCCCAATCGATATCTTCGAATTTCGAGGGCTCGAAAATTCAGTGACGACTGCCACACTGTAAGTAATTTTCGAACCCTCTTTTTTGCTTTTATCGATGGATTCCGATGGACTATGTTGAGTGGCAAATAGAGCCACTCGTAGAGCAGTTTTCGATCGATCGAAGTCTCTCGAAATATCATCATATCGGCGACCCCTCGTCCTATCGGAAAATGGCACTCCGAGGGATCGATTTCGAGATTCGATGCCCATCGAAGGACTTTTTCAGATTGGTATCGATGGCTGAAAATCGTAGACTATGGAGCGGTCTGAATTTTGTTAGGTTTCGAGGGGTTGGAAATCGGAGCACTCGAAATTGTAATAACTTTCAAAAACTTTTTGGTTTCTGTATAACTTTTTTTCGAAACCTCCGTGCTCATCGAACACTTTTGCTTCCTACGATTCTGTATAACTGATTTCCGAGCCGTCGACGCCTATCTGAAATTTTTGCAGAACAGAAGATTCGAACATTTGTACTTACGATTATGAAACTTGTGTATCTATCAGATGAACTAAATATGACATTCGAGGCTTAGACAAACATTGATATCTTTATGTAAGGGAAGTTAGCGAAGTATTCGAGTTTTTTCTAGATCGATTCGCACAATCAACTGTGCCAACTACGGAATGTTGTGTGCCAGATAGAGTTCAATGAGCTCTATAGAATGGTATATTTACTTCTAAAAACGAAACCCACAACAAAGAAAAAAATCATAAAATATATTTTTTCATCATGGGGAAAAAATGCAAAATAGATATTTTCCAGAAATATTCGATTCACGACTTGTGCCACTTTTCAAATTTGAATCAATCGATGTAATTCAACAAGCTCTATCTAATGGTGTATAATAAGCCCTGATAAATTGAATCAATGAAGATTTATATTTTGGTGTACATCTAAAATTAGCATTTCACGAAGTGTTTCATATCCCAATTCGTTACATAAGTTGTGCCATACGGGAAAATAATCCCATTCGATTCAGTTTAACGAGCTCTATCGAATGATATATAATTTGTCACTACACAAATCAAACTTTAGCATAAACGTTTTCTACAGTCTTAGATTTGTGCTGTACTGCAACAAGTACTCCAACCACACCCAATCCAATGTTTAGCGACCTTCAGAAGGACTTTCTTTGTTGGTTAAAACAGGTAAATGGTCTTTTCTTGTTCAACTTGCGGTCTTTCTACTTCGCTACTTCATTGACATGCATTTTGAGAATAAATACTACGTACAAATATATTTGATAATGACATTAATATCTTACACTATAGACTAGTCGAGTTTTTCTTCTTCAAATTTCTCACTAGAAATTTTCTTTTCGGGAATCCTTTTCTTTCGAGATTTTTTTTGTAATATAGGTTTTTCGAGGTTCCAATTTTTCGAGTTTTTCTTTTTCGAAATTATTTTTTTTGGCTTGTTTTGCAGTTTTTTCAAGATTTTTTTCTAGCTTTTTACGCCACACCGTTGATTGTACATAATAGTTATGTTTTCTTAATTCTACTGTTATGTTGATATGAAAATAAAACTCAACCAATAACGGTATTTGATAAATCAAATTTTTCTAATTTACATAAAGTTAAACAATGCTCGAGCAATACTTTTTGTCAAAAGATTAATTTACACGATAAAGAAAAAATTCAATTTTTTTTTAATTTAAATATTCATAGGAATAGCGGCGTCGTCAGGATTCTTCTGGTGGTGAGGCTCAGCAACGCTTGGATATCCGGTGGCGGGGCTGAAGTAATTAAGGTCTGAGGGATGGTGAGACTTGTGAAAGGATTTAGCTGACGAAACTATCACCGGTGGTGGGCTTAAAGGTCCGGTGATGGGGCTGAGCTCCCCCTGGCCTCCTCTGACGACGCCACTACATAGGAATGGGTTGACATTGAAAAACAGATAAGATTATAAATCGGCTTGAGCGTGCGTAACGCGATGATGTTTTGGCCACAGTATTATTAACTTTACTTAGCAATTAGACTGTCTAGTGAGTTCGTTCTTTCGTTAGACGACGTATCTCTGCCTTCCTCAAAATCTCTGAAAATACAAGCTCTTTTGAGTGAGTGTTTTAAAAATTAGAGCAATAATATATGACGTAACGCGATGATGAAAAAAGGACAAAAGTTTGAGGATGATGTGCTTGTTCTTTATTTTCCTTCGAATGTGTACTGTATTAAAAGAAACGTCCTATAGATGGTTTGTAGCCGACAGTTTAAAGTATCCAACAGAAAAAAATTCTTCAAATAAGCTTCTTATTTTGAAGAAGGATCAAGTTAATTAACGTAACGCGATGACGTCGACATTTGTAATATTTTTTTTGTATGCTTCACTTTGCAATATGCGTGTCCGAGTAAAGGCAAGATCTTATTTTGATATTAGCGACTGAAGTATGCAGCAGTTACATGTTGTATGCATTGATTCTTCTAATGCAAAAACCTTGTAAGAAAAAATTAATTAATTTGAGTAATATTTGTAATATGTATATTTAGTGAATATGGTATAAAAAAAACCTCTTAATTGTTTAATTAAAACATCACTAGATAAAGAAAGTTATCAGTCTTATTAAGAGCAAAGAAGAATAACCACATACAACACAAGTAATTTACCGCATGTATATATATATAATGCTATTTTTTAAGTCAAATTGTACATATACAATTTTTCCTGATCAAATAATTATATAGAATGGAAACCATAAACAATTTTGGAGGACAATTTAATTTTCATCTGAAAATCATCCACTTATTGGATCAATCTAATATATTCTTATGACAATTTATCAGTAGTCAATAGAAAAACTCATTAGTTATAGTTCACAATAATTTTTGAATAATAAAATACTATTTAAAAGTTTTCTCTTATAAATAGGAAAAACGCTGATAAAAAGTAAAATACGTCATCGCGTTAAGTAAATTTTTTTAAAATGGAACCTTTTTCAAATAAAAGTATGTATATCAGATAGCCCATAAAAAAACCAGCTTTAGTAATATATTTTTGGAAAAAAACAAGTCAAGACTAACTAGCAAAAAATAAACAATACGCATTTTTCGTTACGCGATGACGTTACTTAGGGTTAACCAAAAGTTCTAAGCCTTGTGTTTAAAAATCTAAAGATAAAGACAAAGTTTTTCTTCACTATTATACGAACGAAACATGGTATTGTTCAGGCTATTTAAAAGAGATTTCTAGTAATCTTAAATTGTTCTGAATAATAATATGTTTCGTTCGTACAATAGTGAAGAAAAACTGTCTTTATCTTTAGATTTTTAAACACAAGGCTTAGAACTTTCGGTTAACCCTAAGTATAAATAGGGTAGTTTTTGTTAAGCTCGCAAAGAAAAACTATAACATGTAAAAAATCATATATTCTACCAAAAGATATATTTATTATCATAGTCTCCAACAGACTTAATCAATTTTGTATAGTTCAAGCTGTTTCAATATACTGGCTACCCTAATCAATAATCGAAATAGAGGAATTTTCTCTCCATATTAGTGACCTCTCTTTTACTAGTTGCTAAATGCAATTTACAACAATTATTAGCGGAACAAAATACATTTCAATACATCATAGGCTACATTCCACAAGATGGCAATAATAAGTTTTTAAAATGCTGATTTCAAACCTCCGATCCTGGGGTTACTCATTACGCGCTCAAGTCGAAACAATTGGGATATTATTTTCCGTATTCTTTCATTTACTAATCGTTGAAATTTATTTAAAAGAAATTATTTTCATCTAAATCTTCATTTATCTAAACTTCAGATATTTTCATTGATCAACTTTATTTTGAATCTTCGAAATTTATTTGTTTATTTTCAGTTCAAATATAGAGATGCTCAAAAAAAGTATTCGACCACCCCAGTTTAGTCTCATACAATAACTTTATTCAAAAAATACCTTTAGAATGATGGACTCTTATGAAACTTGTGTACGACAGAGAACTTTGTTTGCTCCATCCAATGATAGTATTTGGATAAAAAAAACCAATATGTTTCGATATTGAAATCATTTTTTTTCGAAAACCTTTAACCCTCGTACTACCAGGCCATTTTTATCGCTGTATACTCCTCAACAGAACGGACAAAAATGACCCAGGCTGGTGTAGCACAAGGGTTAGTATCAAATCTTAAAGAATTAGGATTTCTTAATAGAGACTCGAGAATTTTGAAATCTATTTGATCATTTAACGGTTAAAGTTTGGTTCTCCGGTCTCGATCCCGGTTCCAAGAAATTTTAAAATGCCGGTTCCAGTTCGACTTGGGATTTCTTTTTTTTCCTCACTCCTGATATCTTCTAACGAATAAAACGCATATTGAAAAAAAACATTGAACAGGCTCGTTTGTTAATGATAATTCTATCATTGACGAAAGGTCATTATTCATTTATGAACAAACTTGACTGTGATAAAAGGTCATCGTATTCACCATCTAGCTATTTAATATTACCGTTGTTGACGACGTCAGATATGACAAAGGTTGAATATATATAGATATATATATATATAGAAGATTATATTCGTAACATTTGTCATTTATATTCAACATGAACGATTCAACTGTTAATATTGTTAATCTATGCGATGAGATCTTGCTCACTATTTACAATAAAATGGATAACATGGATGTATTATATTCACTCATAGGTATCAATCAAAAACTCGATAGATTGGCTCGGAATATTACTTTCACACAATGTGTTGATTTATTAACAATATTATCAAATGAAAGTAATGATTCGAGAAATAAATCAATACTCGATCGATTTTGTTTTGATATATTACCTCGAATTCAACACAATATTCAGTCCCTTACTCTTGATCCATTATCAATAGATCGTGTTTTTCGTATTGGAAATTATTCTAAACTCCATAAACTTACTCTTCTTAATCTTCAATTTGAAATGGCGTCTCGTATTTTTAATGGTATGTCAGCTTATTTTTCACTCTTCAAAATAAATAAACCTAAGTCGATTAACACATATTCTATATTTAGACAAGTCATCTTTTATTCATGTCTTTCAAAATCAAATTTCGCATCTCACTGTGATGATTCATGATGACAGCAAAGGTGAACATATAAAGGAATTATTCACAAATGTTTTCACCAATATTTTAATAATATTTACAAATTTGATTTATCTCGATTTCCATTCACAAGACATTTGTCGGTATATATCAAAACCTTTTCTTAGTTTACCATCTACTACATGTTATTCATCAAATATTGTTCATTTGAATGTTGGAGTCTTTAGTTTTGATGATTGTCTTTCTTTACTTGATGGACATCTTACTCAATTACATACGTTTATTGTCAAGGTTGGTCGCATTATTGATACATCAATGACTATGAAAAATACGGTAAAATGTTTTAAATCATAGTAAAACACTTTCATGTCAGTTTTTGATAGAGTTATTTATAACTTGTACAACGTGAAATAGATTACTAGAATATTAAATAATCTACTGTTGAATAAGTTCTCAAATATTTAACGATATCTAATGCTTATATTTACCTCCTTGTTTGAGTATTCAACTTAACATGACTTAATATTTATGCTAATTTCTTTTTAGAAAACAGTATCTAATCTAAAATGTTTCTCGTTGACTTCATTGCGTCGAACAAATGAATATGATAATCAAGTTTTACCATTATTACACCAAATGTTACAACTAGAAAAACTAACGTTATCCCTTATTGTTGATGATCGAACTTCATTCATTGATGGCACTCATTTGGTTGATAATATTCTTAATAAAATGTTATATCTACAAACATTTATCTTCAATATTATCACCGATTATGTTACAATGGACGAAGAACTTTTACCAACACTTGATGATATTGAACGCCCGCTCATTCAAAGAGGATTTAATGTTAACTGTTATACTGATTATAATGAATTTTACAAGTGTCAATGTCATGTTTATTCGCTTCCATTTACTATAGACTGCATGCATATACATTCTAGTAAATTTCATGGTGGTTTATTCAGGACTGTTCGTTACCTATATGTACAAGATTTCGTTCGTCCATTTGAACATGATTTCTTTGCTCGAATTGCCCAAGCTTTTCCATTACTAAATAAATTAACAATATTTAACAAACATAAACAAGCCAATTTAACACAGCGACAAGATAAACATGAATCAACATCTTCAGTTATTGAGTTTTCTCATCTTATGATACTCAATGTCGCTATGTCTTATATCGATTATGCAAAACAATTTCTTTTCGACTTTAATACGCGTCTACCTTGTCTTAATAGATTACATATTAAATATGAAGACTTGGTGATCGTAACAGAGAATTTCACGAACAACGGTACTCGTACTAATTGTTCAAAATTACAACATATTATTTTTGATTCAATACCAACGATATATCCAGAGAACTTCTACCTTTATTTTCCTTTGTTGTAAATAAAATGTGTTATTTGTTTAATTGTAATATTTTGTGTATATATGAATAAAGAAAAACAAATAATTTCATTGGAAATCTACTTTTAACGAAGTGGTTGTTTTGAAAAATGTGCGCAAACGTGCAGTCACTCTTTTTGCGCACATACTATTTACCTTTTTACTTCCATTTCTGTTTGCAACGACAGTCATTATGTCGGCATATTCTCTTTTTTTTGTCATTCCTTCTATCAACACTATTAAAAGCAGTTTGAGTGATGTGTATTGGCTCGCAAACACTGAAATGAAAATTTCAATGATAAAATACACTGAGCTATTCAAAAACGATCCTATGTGGCTTTTGGATGGAATATGGAGGGTGTGGGTGTGGATCATCTATTTAGCAACATCCACACCCACTCCGCCCAGACCCCCACCCACACCCTCAAGTTCATCAAATATTTTCTACTATTGGAAAATGGCTCGACGATGAGAATGACCATTCACAAAAAACGATAAAATACAATTTTCTGAGTGACCGAGTCAAGAACTCTACAAAACTTTTGCAACATTCATCAGCTAACTATGGTTACGCTTCAAATTTTAACCCAAATAGTGAGTATTTTAGTCCTTGATACACTGTAGGGTACTGCACAGTCAACTTCTTCAAACGTCAATGTTATTGATATCTAGGGTTAACATATAAAGGAGACTCTCATGCCGTAAGATCAACACTTGAAGAATTCTATCATGATCGTCACTGTAGATTTCGTATTGTTGTTATTGTTCAAGTCGAGTCAAATGATGAGAAAAAGCAACGATTTGATTAGGCACCCTACTTCTATATTCGGTCAACAAATCGATGTACAAACATACTTGTTACCATGGTTTTGACACATATCGAAGTTTCAATAAATAATTCCACAATCGAAAATAACATGTCTGTCTACAGAAGATCAACGTTTGTTGCTCTACAGTTCAATCTTCATTTCTAATCATGGTTCACGAAAAGACTAACTGAATTCTGCTGAAAAATCTATTTTTTTTTTGAAGAAAACAATTTCCGACTTTCACTCTAATACCCGTATGCGTCATTTTGTTTAGTATGATTTGATTATTTTCATAATTCGTATTATAAAATGTCAATAAGGCAGAAACTATAATCTTTTTGTAAAAGAAATTCAGCTAGACCATATATCAAATTCTTCATTTGATCATTAATGCTACCGAAAGTCACATGTGGCGATGGACAAACTGAACAATGTGAAATAGTTTAATTTTATAAGTAAAATATTTCTGAAGGTACAATTTGTCTCGCTGATGACGAAAAAACTCCACAACAACAGCAAATGTTTTCTTTCTCTGATCAAGTTACTCATTTACAATCACTGAGATTAATTTTCAACCAATAATCGATACAATGATCAATAAACTATGTCATTTATCTCATTGTCAACATCTGATCTAAATATGACGACAACATTCGACGTCGATCCAAATTGACTCAATGCAATCGATCGGTTTACTGCATCAACAATGATATCATTATCTCACCAAAATCATTTCATTCAAAACGTATTGTATATTATTTTTTTCAGGATTATCGCAAAGTTCGAATCTATTATTTCTCTAATGTTTTTTCAATGCACAAAAAACATCAACTTCGAAAAGGCAGGTAAGCAAGAGCCAAATTCGAGAGAAGAGTTTGATTTAAAACATGGAATAATGTCGATTTTTTAAGAAACCTTCTACACAAGTTTCATGTAATTCATAGTTTAGTCGACGGTTGTTTCGTGACAATTTTAATTACATATAAGAAAACAAAAAATGAGAACGATTTGATTGATGAGATCTTGTAACTGCAATCTATCGAGTTCAATTCAACTGATTTGTTTTCATAAAGAGAGACTTTCGGTGCGAGATAAAGTACTGTTGCAATAAGACAGTCTGAAGGCTACAAGAGCTGATTTACTGATTGAGCTCGAGCCTATATAGACGGAAACATGAAATATTGTTGTTTTTCAGAGTTGGTCCCACTGATCTCTAATTAAGCTACGTAGTTTTATTTGCAGACTTATATTGGCTTTTTTTTTCTCTACAAATCACAACGCACATCAACACAAGAAAAATATGTTCTCCACATTTGCAATTTTGGCTACTATATTTATGACTAGTACGCATGGAAATCCAATGATTTCAGTATCAGACGAACCTGCACGCTGTTGTATACCAAAATTATTTAGTACACAAATACGCATATCAAGTGCAATGCTCTTATTGGATGGAAAATCAATGATTTCATATGTAAGTTTTTTTTTTATTCAGAAATATTTCTACTAAAATAATAATCAATTGACAAAATAGTCCTATAATAATTTTTCGTATGATGCAAGTCGTGGCTTAGTCAGAATGAGAGGTGTCACATTTACGGAACCCGATCATACCCAAATCAATATGTGGACTATTGAGAATCAAATTAATGGAGAGATTTACACCATCAATATGGATTCAAACACATGTTACAAATCAATCAATCGAGTCAAACCCATTCTTTGTATACCAGGTGTAGAATTTTTTTTTTTTTAAATATTTAAAAAACTATTGTTACTTGTCGTCGACATAATAGATACAGCAATGTATGTACACTCATTTACCTTTGGTGATGGAGATAAAAAAATGATTGGTGATACTTGGCTTATACGAATGGAAGATTACGTCAATTATGTAACGGTTAGTCGTGATGGTCGTTGTGTACCACTAACTGGACATTATTACTTTCACAATCCACGTAAGTCATCTGTTCCAAAATTGATAAATCAATCGATATTTTCCATGATTTTAGATGACGTCAATACATTGATAATGAGCGATTTCATGCCACAAATTAATGATCTCAGTATTTTCAATGTACCAGACATATGTAAAACTGAAGTTTAACATCGAATTACTTTCTCCGAAATAAATACAGACCAATTCTTGAACATGTTTATTTTTTAAATCTGTGCGATTGTTTTCATATTTTAGAGAGAACGTCTTCGAGAAACATTTGTGATGAGATGATCAATTTGACTACGCGAAGCAATAGAACGAACAAATCGAGTCAATGCACTAAACGTTTACGTGAGAGCGATGAGAAGATATCGTAGGAAAAAAATTTAACAGCAAAGTTAGTTGAGATATGTCTTAGCTTTATAGTAAACGTTTTGTTTTAGTCGTAATTCCGACAGATGAAGTTTTAGATATTAATCAAATGAATAACTCCAATCACTTTGTTGTCGTTTTTTGTACATGCACTTGCCTTCGAGGTTTGATCTGCTATAGTACATTTACTAACTGAAAAACATACTTCGGATTGATCATTATGAATAATTTTCACTAAAGTGACATAGTCGTCTGGAGGATTCGTCCTGTGTTAAGCTATCATATCAACAACATTTATCTAGAGGAGTGCTCGGAGAAAGGATACTTTGTTGAGAATGGAGCTCACTCCTTCGGAATAAAAATCCTGGATAAAGCATTGCGTATATCAATAGATCGAAAAGCATTGTTTGTCTGTTTTGCTACGTTGTGAAAAAAGATTTCTCCTATTCTACCATATCATACGTTTAATATCATCCGATATTGAGAAGATGGATGAGTTGAGCACCATTGTCTCATTCGCTGTGTACTGTTCGTCATATTGTGATTAAAAAACAAAGAAATAATGTTTCGATCAAATTTTCTTCTTATCTGAATGAATTCATTGAGAAAGATATTTTGCGCATACGTAGATACGATAAACTATTTGACACCATAAAAAATATTGAAAAATGCCAATTGTAATAAAATCACAACTTTCCTAGCAATCATAGTCGATACTCAAAGACCATGAGAGAAGGCAGAATTCTGTTCTATGTCTTCGCATCATTATCATTCTATTCAGAGCAAATCATATTTCGACAAGTAATTGCTACGACTGAAGTAATAACAACGGATCAATTTTCCAATGAATTGGTTAAGTCTCGAATGAAAAATGATCGTTTCATTAATTCATTCAATCCTCAATATAAATTGCCTCATCTAGGGCTTGTTTTAGTCTGGAAGATTACTTCTCAAAGGACAAAACACAATTACCATTCGATAAACAAGAACTTGATAAAATGTTACCCGTTATTCGATATAAAAAACCCGAAAAATTATATCTAACAAAATTCAATCTACGATTTATCTGGATTGGACATACTTCATGTTTTGTTCAAATGAACAATTTTCGATTTTTCGTTGACCCAGTTTTCAGGTAGATGCTTACTCTCGATTTTATCGATTCTTTTGAAAAAAAAAGATGAATTATTATAATGAACGATGTGGCATTATATCGTCTATTGGACCGAAATGTTTTCATCCACCAGAATTAATAATCAATGATCTATCCGATAATCTCGATTTTCCTAATGTAAAAAGTTAAAATACACATTATGATGAACAACTAACTTGAGGGTGTGAGTGTGGATGTTAATGTGAATGTCGGATAGAAGAAGAAGAGACCACACCCACACCAATCTTGATTATGGATTCGATTTCCAGTTGAAGCATATCTTTTCTTATTTGTTTGTTCATCGGAAGTCGAAAAGAAGAAAAATTTAGTATTGTATAAAAACATTACACATACTCCATTCTATCCTTTGAATAGTTAAAAATCGCAGAAAATGCCTGAAAATTATAGCCTAAATTATTGCTTAAAATTGAGAACTCTGTAGCATTTATGCAAAATAATTGCTCAAACAGTGATGATCTATCATTTGAAAAAATGTTGTGATTTGTAGTTATCCATTTTCAAATTAATGAGCACTATAACTAGTTGAAGCCCAAAAACATTGAAAATCTCATTGGCATATTCTATTTTGAAATAATAATTAAAGAATTTTGTTCAATTTTTACTTCTCGTGAGCATGAAATATCTGGCAGTTGAAAACCAAGCGAAGTTTGTTTTAAATGACTGTTAAGTATAGCTAACTAATATTTAAAGTAATAATAGTTTTATAATTAATCGATATTCTAATATCATGGTGAGTGTTTTTTATTAAAATGCACAGTGTATAGAACTGTCATCAGCTATTGTTGTTGAACAAAAAAAAATTGGTTAAACACAGAAAATGTGGTGAACTTTTTTTTGCCATAGAAAATGTTGTTTTTTGTAAAGAATACTAAAATACTAATGCTCTAAAAGTTATGCACACCTCATTCATTTCAACTGTATTCATAATTATCCTCATAGCTCGACAGAGATCAAAAGTCTGCAAACAACAATCCTCTAAACAACATCAATCGGGACAATTTCATAAACATAAACATCGACTATTGAACTCATTTATTCTAGTCATCATTGCTCTGCCTCGCCTAATTATTTCACTTATTTCCAATTGTATGAAGTCTGCTCGAAACCCTTGGCTATATGTCTGTAATTATTTTATTTCATTTATTTCACCATCACTTACATTCGTACTTTTTGTTCTCCCATCTGAATTCTATTGAAAAGAGTTCAATGAAAAAACTTCTCATATTAGAACAACGATTTAAAATCAATTTCGACACAGTAAAAATTACAATTCTTCTGATATCTGACGGTGTGAAAATACCCTGTAAAAAATAAGGTGTTATGAGTTGACAATAGGTCGTAAATCCTTTTTTTCCATTCTCGAAAAACGTAATCAATGCTTTTCCTAAATCATAAACTGTATATAGTCGTTCATTATCTTCGTCATTATGCCACATATGCGATCATTCTTTAAAAACAATTTATATCAATAATTGTAATTTATCAGACATTGCTAAAAAAACAGACATAGATTCACAAGTTTTTTCTGAATAAATTTTCTTCCTCTATAATAAGACAAGAAAAGATGAGAACCATTACGACAAATAATTGTTTGATTTATTTTCCAAGTTAAGATTCTTACTTCTTGTAACTATGAAAAATATCGTTTTACCTAGTTCGTTATAATATAATTTAAGGCTTCCTCACAATAGATGTCTCACTTAGAATGGTTCGTATAGGCTGAAATTCATAGAAGCGAGTGACCCGAGTGAGAACCTTTATGCATGAAATGATTAGTAGAACCAATGTAGCGAAACCGGCGACAATAAGATAGATTGGAATTAAATGATTTATAGGACATGAATTCTTATATGAAAATCCAATAAACACCTGAACTATTGGTACTGCAAAAATTAAAGCAAGTAATGCAAAAAGGACGATGACTGCGAATGCTGTAATGAATGCATTCTTGGAATTTCGTTTAACGTACTGTGAAACACGTCCTATCTTAGTTGATGGAACATAAGAGGCCATATCGGATTGTTGAATCGTCGGCACTTTCTCGACATCATATTTGCTCGCCATATTAATCTGTTAATTGTGTGATTACTTTTTTTCGGTGATGTCTCTTCTATGCTTTATATAAAGAGAAGTTATCTTTGCTTTATATCTGTCCTTGGTATACTAATAACTCTTCATGATTCATTTTCTTCTCTTCTAAAACAAAAACAAAACGCTAATGTGAAAACGATGTTTGGACGTCACATGGTTATGATAAAATGAAAAAAGATGCATTGTTAGTAAAAGAAAATGCTTTAGAATGTGAAACCAATGACAAAAACAAAACAAAAAAAACTTACATTACGTAGGAGATAAAATCAGTCTTCTAGTTTTATTAGGCTACAAATTGTTTGCTAAGTAAAAATATTAAAATGCTAAGTTGGCTTTTGCTAAGTAAAATGTCTATTTGCTCAGTAAAAATATTGAACGTTCAGTTAATAATAAGGTTCTGAATAAAAAAGATATTTGCTAAATTTGATAAGTAATCGCTAACTAAAAATTTTTTTTGATAAGTTAATAAATCGAAATTGTACTAAAAAAATTCAATCAATAAGTAAAAATTATAATTACTAAGTAATTTCGAATAAAGGCAAAGTACGATTATGTGAGATAAGAAGAATTTTTTATGGTAGTATGGCGTATACATTTTCCCTCTTGTTTTTCTTCTATCAACATTAAACTAGTTTCGTAATATATATATTTCACCTATATCTTTCGTTCTGAAGTTATGCGTGAATAGGTGCATATTTTCTTCGAGGATGTTCTGGTACAATTATTTCTGTTTTTCTCTTATTGTTTCTTTTACATATAATCTGCATTGTTTTCTCGAGAATTCTTTTCCGTTTGGCACTTTCTAGTGAGTTCTTGCGCCCCCCCCCCCCATTTTTGTATATATATCTGCGCCACTAAAATTTTATTTTGAATTAATAAGCTATGACAAATTTTCTGGCGACACAATCATATGGAAGCTCTTTGGAATCGGATCATGAAATGAAAATCGATCAACAAAATATTCAAGAAAAAAACGATAGTTCGACATAATCTTCATTGGGTGTGAGTGTGGGGTGTGGGTAGATGTGGATATGGGTGTGGGTGTAGGTATGGGTGTAGGTTTTAGATACAAGTACATCCATACCCCACACCCCCACACCTACACCCACACCCTCTGTTTTACAATAAGATTCAATTTCGATGACATGTTTATATGCTTGAAAAGTACCTGTGCTTTTTTTCTGTTAGGTATAAGCGATGAAAAGAGTGATATCTCTTTAGAAAAACTTTATCAATAGGAACATCTCTAATAAGAAGATGACTGAAAACGTGTTGGTCATGCCACTCAACAGTTCGTTAACATTAATCTACTGCAAATAGTCAAGCACTCAGCTTATATTTTGAGTGTTAACTCTACAGGAGTTTTCGATCAG